TGTTTGGAAAATGAATCTGTATTTGCTGTGTAAGCAAGAAGGAGACAGCAAAGAACCTGGGGTGGCTTAGCTCAACTGTTTTGTACTAAAGCTGCTTGGTGCTGTAAAACTAAAACTGAAACTCCTCTCCTCTGCTTGTGTTTTGCATTTGGAACATATTTCTTTTCAGGTGGAGAGGGGGAGTAGAAGTCCTTAGCATCAGAGTGTGTTAATAATAATATATGTTGGTATAATTGGTATAATTGGCTAAATCAAAGATAGACCACTTCGAGAAAAATTGTAGCCAAGGGCTACCTAAGTAGAGATAATGAAAAGTACCGCTGACGATATACTTGAAGAAGAAAGGATCTTACAGACAGTCACAAAAATATGGTTTTATTTTAACTGTTTTCCCCATGCTACCCCCCCTTCCCTTACCCTTCCCTCTCCTCCCTCATTTGCCCTTCTCTCTTTCCCTCTTGGCCTCTGCCAAGGCCTGTTTGCTTTTTTTCCCTGTATATAATTTGTAGATGTGTTGTTTTTAATGGTAAAATTAATAAAGTTTTTCTTAAAAAATAAATAAATAATAATATATGAAATATTTATGCTCTGATGGTCATTTCAAAAAATCCTTTTTTAGTGAGCACCTAGAAGCCAAGAGGAACATACATGCCAAATTTCAAGTTTGTAGGCTTTATAGTTCTGGAGATTTTGTGATGATGTGTGAGTTGTATTTTATATATTTATATATTTAAGGCTAAAAGAATGAATGCAGATTCATCTAATAATGTCATGTATGGAATCACATTTGAAGTTGATTCTCTTTGTTATATGTTTTTATTTTTTATTTTATTTGTTTAAAAAAATATTTATTTTTATTTGTCAATCGCTTATAAGATAATAGGTATAAGTATATACATAGTTATGAATACATGAAATGGGTACATATAAGAAAAATAAAAGAAACAATAGGACAAGGACGGTAGGAACATTGGTGCGCTCATGCATGCCCCCTACAGACCTCTTAGGAAAGGGATGAGGTCAATAGTAGACAGTCTAAGGTTAAATTTTGGGAGTTTGGGGAAGAAACCACAGAGTCAGGTAGAGTATTCCAGACATTGACCACTCTGTTGCTGAAGTCGTATTTCCTGCAATCAAGTTTGGTGTGGTTAACCTTGAGTTTGTATCTATTGTGTGCTCTTGTGTTGTTATGGTTGAAGCTGAAGTATTCATTGACAGGTAAGTCATTGCAATGTATGATTTTATATACCATACTTAGATCAGACCGAAGATGACGTAATTCAAGGTTTTCTAGGTCTAGAATTTCAAGTCTGGTGGCATAAGGTATCTTACAACAAGTAGAGGAGTGGAGAACTCTTCTTGTGAACTATTTCTGGACTTTCTCAACTGTTCTAATATCAGATACATAACGTGGGTTCCAGACTGATGAGCTGTATTCGTGTATTGGTCTAGCAAATGTTTTGTATGCTCTAGTTAGTAGTGTGATATTACCAGAGAAAAAGCTACATAGGATTAAGTTAACAACTTTTAATGCCTTTTTGGCTATGTAGTTACAGTGGGCTCTAGCACTTAGATCATTAGAGATGAGTATTCCAAGGTCCTTTACAGAGCTTGGATCATCAACAAGATCTTGACTATTCAGCTTGTATTTTATTTTCTGATTTTTTTTGCCAATATGTAAGACAGATCATTAATTTGTTGAGATTTGAAGTTGCCATTTGTTTGACCATTCTGATACATAGTCAAGATCTATTTGAAGGGTAGCAGTATTATCTGTGGTACTGAACAGCTTTCCATCATCAGCGAAGAGATTGCAGAGGTCATTTATGTAGAGTATGAAGAGAGTTGGTCCTAGAACACTGCCTTGGGGGACACCACTATTGACAGGTACAGAATTTTGACCATTTGTTGTCTGTTTGACAGGAATGCTTCTATCCAGTTATGCAGCTGTCCAGAGATACCATAAGATTTTAGTTTTAGGAGTAGTTTGTTGTATACCACTGAATCAAAGGCTTTACAGAAGTCTATGTAGATTGCGTCTATTGTTTTGTCCTGATCGAGTTGTGTAGTCCATATGTTTTTTGCAGTGTAAGAGTTGCAGATTACAGGATAGTTTTTTTCTGAAACCAAATTGTTTATTGGAAAGAAGGTTGTTTGTCTCTAAGTGGAGGATAATGGATTGGTTAATGATTCCATGACTTTACAGGTGACGCAGCATAAGGAGATTGGTCTGTAATTTTCAACTAGGCTGGGATGTCCCTTTTGAAGATGGGGATGACCATGGCTTGTGACCATAGGTTAGGCAAGGAGCTGGTCCTGAAAGATTTTTCAAAGATTATGCTTAGAGGTTCTGCTATGGCAGTGGATAGCTTTTTTAAGAAGTAGGCACATATTCCGTCCGGTCCAATAGATAGAGATGGTTTTAGATTGTGTAGTGCTTTTTCAACATTGTCTTCTGTAAAATCGATATGTATTAGATCATTGTAGTTTTCTGTGGTTCGGCTAGGAAATACTGGGCATGATCCATTGCTGTTTACAAATACTGAGCCAAAGAATGTGTTAAAGATGTTGGCTTTAACGGAGTCGTCATTGCAGTCTTTACCATTAGGTCCTATCAGGGGTGGGATGGACCTTGAATCTTTTAGTTTGTTGTTTACAAAATTGTAAAAAGTGCAGGTGGAATTGGTGCGTAGAAGGTTTTCCTCTGTTTAATGTGATAATTGGTGCATTCAGTCTTTATCTGGTGGCATAAATTTTTGTATCGGCTTTTGAAATTGGCAACGTGACCAGATTTGTTTTTCCGCCAGAGTGATCTCTATTTTGATTGAAGTTTTCTTATTGTTATGGGTAATTTGTTTTTTTTCTTTTGGGGAGGGGGAGTTGTTGTTGGTACATATAGTTTGATGACTCTTTTGACTTCAAGTAAAAATATGTTGTAATGGTCTTCAACAGTATTGCACCCAGTGAATAGAGATTGCCAATCAAGGGATGAGAGATTGTTGTCTATAAGATCATAGTTGCCTTTTTTGAAGTTATAATTGGGGATTACATCATTGTGATGATTTTTGTGTGGGCGTATGTTGAGACAAAAGTCAATCATATTGTGGTCACTGTTGGAAAAGGGTTCTTTAGTTTGTATTATGTAAATTAAATTCAAACTATTGCAGAAGATGAGATCGAGGCAGTTGTTAAGTCTAGTATTGTTGGTTACTAGTTGTTCCAGTCCCAGATTTGTAACAGCATTGTAGAAGGTTGCACGTATGGGTTCAGTTGTACATTCATTTAAGGTCCAGTTAATATGAGGTAGATTGAAGTCAACAAGAAAAAGCGTGTGGGCAGGATGCTGCCCATGTTAGTAGTGAATTTAGCTTGTTTACATGTTTGATGTCATAATCAGGTGCTCTGTAACATAGTAAGAATCAAAATGTGATATTTAAGAATAGTTCACAGATGATGGTCTCAGAAAGAGCAAGCTCCTGGGTAACTTGGATGTTTTTTAGATGTAAGGACTTTTTATAGAAGATAGCAACACCACCTCTTCTACGAATTTCATGATCCGATCGGTAAACATGATAGTCTCTTACTGTGGTAATGGAGTCAGGGAGAGATGCATTGAGCCATGTTTCACAGACAAATATGATGTCGAATTTAGCCATATTTAGTAAGAGGAGAAATTCAGGAATTTTATTCACAAGGCTTCTTGCATTGAGTAGCTTGCATTTAAGGCCAGCAGTAGTTGGAATTGAGGTAGTTAGGGGCGTGCGTGCCTAGTCTTGGGTGATGGTGGATTGGTTGAGATAGGGTGGTGGTTGAAGGTTAAAGCTGAGTTGTGGGATGTGTGACTTACTTTTGATACAGTCAGCACGGTAGTCAATGTACAGGTACTTCTCTCCGTTGTCTAGATGTTTTTTGAGTTCAGTGCAGAGTACATGGGAGCGGGCACATTGCTGTATGGTTAGGTCAGGGCGAGGTTCTTATGGTTGGTGTTGCTTTTGGCAAGTGAATTTATTGTATAAATGAATTTACATTTGCTTGATTCATTTTTGCAAATGACCCTGCAGAAGCGTGGGGCCAAAGAGCCATTTCTGTTTTTGAACTCTCGGCCAATGTGGGAAATGTCAAGTATTTCATCAGGGGAGATGCTTGATGCTTGATAATCACTGATGATGTTTCAGACAGTTGTGATGTCATCATTGTCATTGATGTCCTCTAGACCAAATAAGATGGCGTTTGGATGTTTCCGTTCACATTCAACAGCTTCTCTGATGAGGATTGGGATATCATTATTTGTCTGGTTTATGTTTTTTTGTGGATTGGGTTGTGGTTGTTGGGCAGAGATGTGGTTTGTAGCTACTGGATGTTCAGGTTTTTGCGTTGTGTGTGTTTTTTTTACAGGTTGGATAATCTTTCTTTTAAAGCGTCCAGGGATGCTACTATGGTGTTAAGGGATGTTATTTGTGTTTCTATGGTATCAACTCTTTCAAACAGATCCAGTTTGGGTCTGCATGATTTGCAGAGATATGGAAACTCATTGGATGATTCCAGGTATTGAATCATTTGCTCGGGTAATCCCAAGCAGTCATGATGAGCGTATTTGTTACATAGAGAACATTTGATGGAATTTTCATTATCCTTTAGAGTTTTATAGCATTTAAGGCATGTGCAGGAGTCTTGTGGTTCATTGGTTCTGAATTACTGTACAATAAAGTAGCATCCATGACTATTTTGGAGAATACTGCATTATATCAGAAGTAAGAAGCAGGTTTCCATGACATATTAATCTATGCTAATCTCCTAGAGTTAACTGTGAAAATTTATTCTAAGCATCAGCACAACTGTTGATGAATGTATAGTTCTGTTTCTCTCTGTTCTACCTCCAGGCTGTTTAGTGTCCTCTAGAGGCAATTGATAGCACAGGCCTACTCCATGTACTTTTGAATAGCAGTCGAAATGATCATCAAGAAAGGGCATATACAATGTGACTGTTTTATTGTACTTACCACCAGCAGGCAGAGCAATTTCTACAGGAACACTGATCACATAACCTTGGCTATTAGAAGCATTCACTTCCACTGTGTAGTTGGAAAATGGAATTAGTCCTCCAATGGACACCCAGACATTTGCTTCTTTGCCGATATGTAAAATTTGTGTGCAATTTAAAATACTGTAATTGCCATTAGCTGAAAGAGAAAGAAGGAAACCGTGAAATCTTCAACTGTTATAACTTGAATATTTCTGAAGATAATAGGTTTATTCTAGTAAAGCCAGGACATTGAGTGAGTTGAAAAATTACATGATTATTGTTTGATGTTTTAGTCACCAAAACCCAATATCAATACTATTGAGAAGCTTAAGGTAGAAGGAGACCAGGATTTCTCAACTGTGCACCTGTAATTTTAAGAATGTGGTGTGGGTGCTTTCACAAAATAGCTGCCATGGAAGAGAGGGATCACCAGTTAGTCTCCTTAACCCCCCATTTCCTACTGAACTACCCCTTTATCTTTCCACTATGCTAATTACTTTTGGGGTTTTCTTTCCAAGCAGTTAATGGAAGCCACCCACATTTCTTTAATTTTTAAGCAAACGAATTCAATTTGGAATTTTGGAAATAAAAAGTGCTGGAGGATGGTGATAGACACCAATGTAACCATTTGCTATTTCTTCTTTTTTGAACAAATACTCAGGCACAAGTAACATTAGCCTGACACTTTGATCAGGAATAATACATTGGCTTAGAAACTGCAAGAAATAAATATTAGATGGATCAGAGTCTAATTATTTGTGTTCTTCCGTTACTGACTACATTAAAGGGAATGTCTTCCAGATTTGCTAAGGCATTCAGATACCTACAATATTTCACTATAAAATCAAAATAAGTCAGGAAATGGGTTATTCCAATTTTTCCTTTCATCCCACCAAGTTAAATGATTGATATCATTGCCATAATTATTATCCTTGCTTAACCAGTTCTTCTTAGTTCTTAGAAGAACTAAGATAGTTGTACATTGCTTTTCTCGAACCTCTTTCATTGTTTTTCTTGAACCTCCTCCAATTTCTCTTGTACATGTGAAAAACTTTCTTGTATTCCATGTTAAAGTGTTGAAGAATTCAAACTAGGTTCCATACATGGCATGATAAAAAACTCTGAACTCTCTGTTTCTGTTGCTGGTAGCTTTCAGGACTCATACCTTGAGATATTTAGGTAAAGGTTCCCCTCACACATACATGCTCATCATTTCTGGCTCTAGCGGGCAATGCTCATCTCCGTTTCAAAGCTGAAGAGCCAGCACTGTCTGAGGACATCTCCGTGGTCATGTGGCTGGCATGACTAAATGCTGAAGGTTCACGGAATGCTGTTACCTTCCCACCACAGTGGTCCCTATGCTTCTACTTGCATTTTTACATGCTTTCAAACTGCTAAGTTGGCAGAAGCTGGGACAAGTAACGGGAGCTCACTCCATTATGTGGTGCTAGGGATTCAAACCACCAAACTGCCGACCTTTCTGATCGACAAGCTCAGCATCTTAGCCACTGAGCCACTGTGAATAGGCAACAGGGTTTAAACATAGGGAAATCAAAGAATTGGGGGAGACTGTTACCAAATGATGTTCAAAGGATTAACACCCAGATCCTGAAAGAGACTGAGAGAACTGGCTTCTTGAGAAAAGAAGACAACAATTTCTGGTTGTTTACAGACAAAACAATCGAAAAGACAAAGAGCTTCTCTGTTTAGGGTGGAGATGGGGGATGGGAGTCTTGTTTTCATAGTTTTAATGTATTTCTTTCCTGTTTTGTATTTTATAATTTTTCTATTTCTATCTGAAAAAGTTGTTCAGCTACTTAATTTTTAACATGAGAAGTTTGACAGTAGAACCAACATTCTAGAGATGGGGCAGGGGTATCTTCTGCTAGAGATTGCTAGACGAGGTGGCTTTTACCCGTAGCTCTTCTCTATCCCATACATTTGCTTGTGCAATCTGGGCATTTCTGTCTGTCTGTCTGTCTGTCTGTGTGTTAAATCATGATAAAACAACTAAAATGGCACTTTAAAAATGCACAGGGTAAAAGTTACCTATTAACAAAAGAAAAAATAAATAAATAATAAATAAATTCTGATAGATTTTAAACTGCAACTAGGCATCACCTTTTTTCAGTGTGTGAAAAGCATTGACTCAGTTGAAGGGTCTATCCTTCCAATACAAAGTGTTTATTTATTTGTTTATTTGTTTGTTTATTTATGATTGTAAGCCTGCCAAAATTATCCTGTGATATGATCAACAATGAATAAATGTATGATGGATGGTCAATAAATTTTATAAATAAATAAAACAACTTGGGGTCACTGTATTTTTCTAACTATCCATTATTAATCTTAGCACAAACAGTAAATCAAATCATTGCTTAATCTACTATTAAGCAACTTTTGTTAAAGTGCAGTGAATGCATTATCCATGTCACTTTGGGATAGCTCTCTGCATGATGTACATACATACTTCTTTGCACATGAATGTGAAGCAAAATACGAAAATGTGCTAAACATCTAACACTATTACTCATAAGCATAACAGTTTCATCCATTTCTTTCCGTAAAATACGTTTTATTTTCCTTTATATTTGCCATGTATAAAACCCATTTCCAGCTACATAACAAATATTCGTTTTTATATTTCAAAATGCTACTGAGAAAAAAAAAGCTTCAAGCTAAGCAACACTTTATTCTGTTGCCTCGATAACAACATTAATACACAGTAATTATATAATTAGTTGTAACATTAAGTTCTAGTTATAGCGGCATGATTGCTTGGCAATTATGAGAAGTATATAATTATTCAATAATTATGAGAAGTATGTAATTACATAACCGGTTTATTCAGCTGCCCCCCCCTCCAACGAACTTGCATATTTATAATGAGTTTGGTGATGCAGAAGTTCAAATTGCTCGCTAAGTCAAATTTAAACAAAGGAGACGGTGGCAGGTCTCCTAACAAAAATTATAGGCAGAACAAAGGTTCCTCATCCAAGCAGCTTACAGCTCTGGCAACTAAAGTATTAGGGAAATTTCTTTTCCCCTTTAAAAATTCAAGTTCTCACATTACTCATGCTGGAAGTGACACAGTATGCCATTTTGCCACTTTTCACTGCATAAACCTGACTTTCAGTGGGCTGGAAAATGCAGCCACATTGGTTCAGCCTGAAAGAAAGTGTGATACTGATAAGCATTTCATATAAGTGAGTGGTGCATTCATTTTTCCATTTTTTCATATGTCTCCTCTTCTACTTGACCCACAATCCTAAATTCTGCACATTGGCATCAGGATCATGCTCTTGCCTATAAGGGCAATAATTTAAGATATTGGTAAATTTCAAGTGTTCTTGTTACCTTCCTTCATAATACTTTATACCAAGACAATATAGAGTTTGTTTTATCCTTTCCTTCCTTGTCATATATTTTAATCAACAGAATAAATAATTTATCAACTCCGTTCAACAAAGACACTTTGAACTAGCCAATGACATCTTCAGGGACCTGACTAGTAGGGAGATGACATAATAATATTTATGTTGCTATTTTTAGTCATGCAAGCCCTTCAATTCTACAGAATAAAAGACATTCATTCTTACAGCTTGTTCGCAGTGATAATCTCTTGAATGAAGTAGGATGGTGTTTGGTATCTGCCAAGTTCCATCTTTAAAAAGGAGTTCTGAACATTGAAAAGGAAGAAATGGCTTACCACTTTAGCTAAAAAATTTCTGACGAAATTAGAAAGAGGCATAGGAGCATGATGAGGATTTATTACTTTAAAAAAAGGAAAGCTATCTATGGTCTCTGTGCCAAAAGGTGATCCAGTCTGTCACAAATGTTAAGCATGAAAAAGTTAGGACACAGTATTGATTCCCCTTGATCTTTGTCACTTTTTCTTAATTACAGAATCATTTTAACCCTTCTGAAAACCTTTTGGAAAAAAATCAGCCCATCAGACTGAGGTTATTCTTTCAAAATGAAGTCCAAGATACCCTTTGGGCTGGCTACTCCCTTTGACAGCCTAGGCCAACCTCCCATTGTGCTCACTAAGATCAGGTTGTGCAAGTAGCACTAATAAACTGACAAGTAAATGCCACTGAGAGCAATCAAGCAAGAAGATGAAGGCAGATTTTCCATTCCTTCTACTGCTTATTACCTGTGTATCAAGCAATTCCTTCTTTCTTTAAAAAAAATACTTTTATCTCATAGACTCATAGTTCCTGCTGAGAAGAGGGAGGTGAAAAATAAATGACCTCTTGACTCAAGTATATTTAGGGGCTTGTTCTACACAAAGAGATTCACAAAGGAGATATATTATAGTCCTGAAAAGTCTGCAGGCTATCATATCCCCTGCTGTGTGAGTAAAGGAGGGAAGCACACAAGTCATAGATAGCTATGAAATACTTGTGCCAGGGTTTCTTTTTAAAAGAACTAACACTAATCTGTAGTTTTTAAAAAATATAATTCCAAGCACAGTTTTAGCTGCCTTTTTAGAAAAAGCATGAACTTGCATCGACAGTAATTGGCAGATGGGACTTGGGTGAAAAAGGATCAATAGAGGTTAAATGCAATAAATTAGGAGATTAAAATATTTTACACAGAAAGATGGCACATGAACAGCTACTCTATTTAAAGATTAAAAATAGCACAAATGACCAAATAGCTTTGATAGCTTTAAATATAAACATCATTTTAACAGGTAAATTTGTTCTTTTTCATAAATAAAAATCTTGTTTTGGACTGCTGACAGAAGAACAGTTTTGCTTTCATAAGAAATCACCTTACATCGCATAATAATCAAATACTAGGTGGATGATTTCATCAAATTAAAAGAGCGCTTCCATTTCCAAGTGTAAATATGAGGTAGATTTTTAAAGATGATGAATAGAATTGGAATTTTAAGAAATAACCAATCCTAAATTAGTTGAAGCACAGACATGTTACTGAAAAAGGTCTGCCTTGATCTCTACAACCTACTCTGTTTTTGAATCCTGGGTTCAAAAGTAGGCTCCCTTCACATCAAAGCTTTTCTTTTTTTAGCCATAAACATTGAAAAGGAGATGCTTTTCATCTAGTTTAAGGATTACTGAAAGTTCAGCCTTCCTGAGGAATACTTGAAGAATCACAGTTCATAAATGCCCATCTGATTATTGCTTT